TATTCCAGGTAGCAAGCACACGTCATTTTGACATTCCAAACTGGTCATTTTTGATCATATGTCGTCTGACTGATTTTTTACATGACTTTATACAAATGACTGATTTGTTACATTTATACTCTCAAAAAATGAATCAGTGTATTATCACTGTAATCAGTGATGTACTTATAACTGTACTTACAAACAGTTATAAGTACAGTACTGATTACAGTGATAATACACTGATTCACTTTTAGAGAGTACTGACGTCTTGATTTGTAACATTATTTTAACGTCATTTTTCAGTCATGAAGTGACAATTATTTTATTATTGTCATCAGTTAGTACATCGATCCCATAAAAAAATGTTTTAAAATGTTTTATATAACATGACTTTCGCGATCAGACTTTAACGATTGTTAAAGTAAAATTCACTGTAAAACCAGTAAAATTCACTGTAAAACAGTAATCACTACTTCGTTTGTTTACCGCTACGATCGCTATCTCTCGTATTTAGTTTCAATCATAAGAATTATATAATCATAGGAATATTATATATCATAAGAATTATATAAGTTTGCAAAGAGTGACAGATAAAATTAGAAATATTACTTCGATTTAATTTCTGATACAATCCCAATAGAGATACAATCCCTTCAGATATTAAATCGATCTTATAAATTGGACAAATAAATGTCTGGCTACTTAATGAAAATTATTCGTTCGTTATATTCGTTCTATTTAAAATAACAAGTTTAACATATATGTAATATAAATAAAATAAAATTTTTAATATAATAAATATTTAGTAAATATAAATAAAATTTTTAATTTTATATATATTTATTTATATTTATTTATTTTTATATTTATTATATTTATATTATATTTATGAAATAGAATTACGTTCCAAAAAAAACGTATGTAACTGAGGAAAATTTTACTCAATGGCTGATTCGAACCAATCGGAAACGCTTAAAAAAGTTTCGGAACAGCAATCGAGTAAAATTTTCCTCAGAGAGTACGTTTTGGAACGTACCCTAGATAGAGAAATGAATTGTAGTTTAATATTATTGGCAATAACAAAAAAAATATTACTGATATTGAGAAATATACTGAGATATTACTGATTGAAAAGTCAAAATTATTAACTGATTCTTTCAATAAAATATCACTGATTTACAGTGCTGTACTTATAACTGTTGTAATCAGTGACTATGTACTGTTTTTCAGTGATAATATACTGATTCACTTTTAAAGAGTGCTTTATTCGACAACACTATTAAATATTAAATGAAATTGTGTAGTCGACCAGAGACCTCTTTGACGAGGTCCCACACGGACTCATTGTTCTTAAAAATTGAATTTTAAAAATAAAGTTTTGTTAATGTGACTTGTGCTTTGTACAAGATTATTATCTATGCCGACACTCTGATTACCAATACGTCGGCTAATTTTGTATACTTGATAAGGACCACAACCATATGGTCGAAACGTAGTATTGAATAAATTATATTTCTGTCTAGTTTGGTCGACTACACAATTTCATTTAACCTTTTGTAAATTCGACTAGCAATATTAAGCTATTTACTAATTACTATTAAATATATTATTATGCTAAGAAAAAGACGTCAAAATATGGTACATTTTATGACGTTAAAATGCGGTACATGTCATGACGTCAAGAATCTGTGACATTAGACCGTCACTTTTACGTCATAAAAACGTCAATTCGTGACGTCAAGAATAGACAGTGAATGACCAATTTGAAACGTCAAAATGACGTGTGCTTTTTACCTGGGATTATGTATAAATTTATAAATATCATTAATATTTATGTAACATAATTAATACTGACTTACATGAGATAGAAAGATTAATAAGAAAGTGGATATCACAATATTTATAATTTTGCTACTGTCACACGGACATGGGAAAGGAGAAATTATTTCAAAATACATATACACACATACACATACACATATACCAATTAGGCTCCGCAAGCGTCTTTTCCTTTTAGGATAAAAGAACGTAAGATTAGAAATACACTAAAATAGTGTCAGTCATCTTTTGAAATCGGATATACGCGTTTCTCGATGTTTCTCAACATTCTCTCTCTCTCTCTCTCTCTCTCTCTCCCCCTCTCTCTTTCCCTCTTCTTCTATAAAAAGAAAATAAATTCCATCAAGTCTCATATAAATCTCTTGTGACATTTTCTCAATGATTTGCATATATGATATTGTACATATGATAATGCGATAAACTGTAAAATGCATATACTATGATATATTTAAAAAATCAGTATTACAATTATAGGATTAAATAAATTGAAAGGAAGAAAGAGAAAGAGAGAGAAAGAATCATCTAATGAGAAGAATTGTTCTACTTTTAAAAATGCGCAGAATTCTCGCGTGCACGCATTTTACTTAATAATATATTAAATATATAAATTTAAAAAAAATAATGGATATTTACAAGAGAGTAAAGTTCTTACTAAATATATTATTTTGCTCTCTCTATAAGCTCTTAGCCATATTTCTTGCCAAATAAACATACCCTTACCGATCCATTTGATATGGTTTTAAATTTACTGACAAACATTGTAAATAGTAACACAATATATTTATAAAACTTGTTCGTCAGCTAAACAACATTTGTTCTAATTACGATTTGTGCATGGAAAGTTTTTTTTAATTATATACGACTCTTGCATGCGTGTGACGATGGCTTTCTGCATGCACATTTCGGCAATGTTTTTGATGTGCTGATTATATAGGATATTTGCGAGATTTGTAGCGCGAGAGAGGGGGGGGGAGAGAGAGAGTGTGTGTTCAGTGTGTACACGTGAACTTTTACTTTTTTTTATGCGTGCGCCTCGCGTTCTTGCTCGTCTTCGTCGTAGCTATTCCGTAAAAGAGTTTTCGATTTTTATAGATATAAATGTACGTTTCAATTACACTTAATGACAAAGATAGAGTCATTGTAAAACAAAAAGATATACGAATGATATAATAGCGTGCGACTCGATTCGCTCTCGTGATCACGTTTTTCTCAGGTATTTATCATGTACATTGTCATGTGACTCTTTTCCGTAATCATTACTATCGAGATTAGATTAGTCACTATTATGAAAGAGCTTGTACAATAAACTTGTTTTTGTGTCTATTACTACGATCATTACATATCATTAATGACCGATATTCTTTTCATAAACAGCCAAAAAGTTCACGCTCATATAAATATGTACTTCTATATCTATTGCACATTACTTTTGTATATATTCTAAACAAACTTTTCACTTTATTACAATTTTATAATTATATTATTCTTTAATTTTTTCCAATATTTCTTATATATAAGTCAGATAATAGAAAATTATGTAAGATAGTCAAATTCCATAAGTATGATTTGAAATATTTTTACCTTACAGAAACTATTTTTTTATATAAATGACTAAAAAAGTGCAATTTCGAAGTGCAGTCTAGTTTCACATACTAGATAGTAAATATATATTTTTGGGGGGAGAGGAAGGGTGCTATTCATTATAAAAATTAAAAATAAATTTCATTCATATAGAGAAAATATACGAACATGAGAAGAAAAAGAAAATTGTATACATATATATAATATGTAGTATATATAAACATATATATATATATATATATATATATATATATATATATTATAATAAACAACCTAAACATTAATATATATATATATATATATATATATATATATATATATATAAATGTTTAGGTTGTTTATTATAATATATATATATATATATATATATATATATATATATATTATAATAAACAATCTAAACATTAATATATATCTAAACATTTATATATATATATATATATATATATATGTATATATATATATATATATATATAATATTCTAAGAATAACAATTCCTATTATATAAAAAGATTCGTGTTTATTCCAAGCGGTCTGGTCACGAAAATCTTTATGTAACGTTATAATATTTAAGAGAGACGAAAAGATACTCGTAAGGAGGACATTTCTGACTGATGTGATATTTGACTTCGAGGTAATCTTATATTGCCAAGATAATCGATCATAATATGTAAGAGAAAGGGATGATTTTTAGAAGTTCCATCGCAGCTGGAATTAATCTTATAAATGTTACTACAAAGATATCCTTAAACCTTTTTTCGTCGAAAATATATGTTTGAATAGTAATGATGTACGTTTCAGTGTAAAGTTTTACAATTGTATTCTCGATATACTTATTCAGTATTATGACAAGTTAGCACATAAACAATTTTCACATGAGATTCACTGTTTGATTGAGGAAAAGAGACATAAGTTATAACAAAACATAGATATATTCTCTGTATCGTGTAACAGATTTAATTTTTGATTACTTTATATCGCAACAAATAAAAAAGAAATTATGATTGTGGAAGTGAAGATGTGAAGGAAAATGTGGAATATATTGTGACAAAGAAAAAAACCTCTTTTATGATCATCAAGAATAGTATTGATCGTTAGAGGTGCGCATAAAAAATTTTAAAATAAAACAATCCGACTCATAAATCTTACATAAATTCTTAATTATTAATTCCTCGACAGTATTTTATGTCTTATTATATCGTTTTAAAAAATATAATACTGGTGATGTGTTAAAAAAGAATTAATAAAAGAATGATCAAATAATAAAAACTATTATTTTCAAAAATATTATAAATTTTAAATTGAACTATTATATATTCAGTTATTAGGAATTTAAAATTAATTTTGTTTTTTAATAGCTATTCGTACTAATATATTTGTAAAATATGGAATTTGTTTGTAAGATATAGATGACTGTGAAACCAATAATTTTAAAGTGATATATATACATATATATATATATATATATATATATATATATATATATATATATACGTATATGCATATGTATATGTATATGCATATGTATGTATATAAGTAAAAATAATGTACAAAAAAGATTGAAAAATAAAAAAAAATCTAGAATCTGCACATGGTGCTCTTTGTAAAACTTGTAAGAAACGATACATTTATCGTGAAAGGACATGACAGTTGTGCACAGATCTTCGAAGACGGAGAACTGGTCCACCCACCGGGTATTTCAAATTCTTTTATTCAGTGATTGTCAGTGACTATCAACTAAAACATATATTGGATTCAAAAATGCGACATCTATTAAAAGAGGTTATATGTGATTTAATAGCTATTATACAGGGTGTTTCAGAATTCGCGGATACGGATTCCACAGCGTGAATGCTCGTTTTAAAAATTTGTTGGCCCTGAAAAGGGCCGATTAAATGCTTCAAAGCATATGCTCAAAATGCAGACCTTCCATTTGTACACACATATTAGCTCTACAGATAAGATTTTCTTGTGCTCGTTGGAGCATTTCCGATGTGACAGTTGCAATTGTACAATGAAGTTGTTCTTCCAAATCTTCTAATGTTTCTATAGGATTTTGATAAATAAAGGTAAAAAAGCATATATATAGTACGCTCAAATGCCACACAAGCCGTGTGCGCGTTGCCTCTGATTCAAGTGTAATCTAAGACGCTTATTCGTTACCTTAAAGTTGCTCTCACTTAAAAAGTAATACTTAGACGCAATTTTGTAAGAGGAAAAAGTTGTTTGTTTTGTTACGAGCAATCACGCTGTCCGTTCACGGAGTCCGTATCTGCGAATTCTGAAACATCCTGTATAATAATAACACAGGCCTGCGAAATTTGAGCTTTTGTCAGTTACAAAAAAAAAAGTAGGTGACTCTACTAGATTTTATAACGCTGAAAACGAATTTGGCTGCAGAATTTCCTCAGCACGTCAGGTTTTTGAATAATTTGTTGTTGAATAGTCTAAAAATCGTTATTTTGGCCAATTTCATGAATTTATTGTGAAGAAACCAAATTTTTTGAAGTATTTCTGTCAATGGCATCGTATAGTACTCACTTTCACTTTTAAAAATGGCGCATCCAATATGGCGGATAAAATCACAATAAAAAGGCAAAATTTAAAAAAATTTATCAAAATGTGTAACAACTGTATTAGATATTTCTTTACAATAAGTTTTTGGGCAACCGAACCTGACATATGTCAGTCTTTTCAAATTTCAAGATGATGGATCTATCATATTGATGTCTACGTAAATTTTCTTATAACTTCATACTTATATATCTCAGCGAAAAAAATCGTGTGGCGGTAATTGAAAGTGGATTTAAAAGGTGAAAGTGAATACTATACGATACTATTGGCAGAAATATTTTTCAAAAAATTTGATTTCTCCACAATAAATTCATGAAATTGGCCAAAATAGCGATTTTTGGGCCATTCAACTACAAATTACTCAAAAACCTGACATGTTGGGGAAATTCTGCGGCCAGATTCATTTTTAGCGTCACAAAATCTTTCAGATTCACTTACTCTGCTTTTTGTAACTGAACCTCGCAGCAGTAATGCCAGATTCTGGCCTTTCGGTAGCATAGAGGGGATAGAAGGAAACAAAACATGATTCTTTCTCGCTTTTTTCTCGCAGAGAAAAGCGAGCGAGAATCATGTTTTGTCTCCTTCTATTATCCCCTCCATGCTACCGCATGCTACCGAAAGGCCGGAATCACTGCTTCGCAGACCTGTGTAATTATTATTATACGTTATTCTCGAAAAGATAGCTATTTAGTGTAACAATGAATTGAAATATTAACTATAGAGTTTATTTTTAAACATTATTTAAATTTATAAATTTATTTGAATTTATAAATTTATTTAACACATTATTTAATACATTATTTAATACATTATTTATATATTATTGCATTATTTAAAAGACTCCATATTTTATATAAAAAAAGGGACTTTGATTCAATGGGCTAAAATCCTTCATTCAAAAATAAATTTTGTTTCTTACCATTATAAATAAGTGAAATATTATTCATAAATAAAACACTTCATTTTTTAATTTAATAAAAAGTTGTTAAAGAAGTATTTATTTTTATAAATACATTAAAAATTTCTTTTAAATCTATGAATAAAATAAAAGGAAAAAAAGTATTCTTTATAAATAATTATATATATATAATAATTTTTGATTAAACAGATAGATTTTAACAAAGTTCTGTTTCTTAGTTTCAAAGTTCTATATATATATATTGAAATTTATTTTAATTTGTAATAATAATTAACGAACCAAAGACGAATAAACTGTTAGCTAAATTGTTTAAGCAAAAATTATATATTCCTAAAACAAATTTATTATAAATAATAAATAATAACGAAAAATACATACACACACACATATATATATATATATATACATATATACATATATATATATATATATATATATATATATATATATACAGGGTGAGGCATCTAAAACAGGCCACCTGAATAACTCCGTTGGTAAGCCGAATATAAAAAAATTGTTCAGACAAAAGTTGTATGGTTTCAAGGGGGACATATGATGGTGTCATTAGTTTAATCTTGAAGAGCCACCCGAAGGTCACGTGAAGGTCAGCTCCAACTTTTTAAATGGGACACCTTATATGCTTTTGCATATTCTTGTAGCTCATCTCAAGAGCTTTCCAAAACACTACAATTATGTTAGTTTTCATTAAATACTTTCCAAGTTATGAGGCTTGAAATCATTTTTTAATTTTACATAAACCGTAAAATATCTTGTAAAATATTCATTTTTCGATTATTTTACATTAATACTTTTATGTACAAAATAATGAGAAGAATCAATTGGTGTAAAGAAAACACATAATTGCTTCGAACAAAAAAATGTAATTGTTAATTGCAAATTACATTTTTTTGTTCGAAGCAATTATGTATTTTCTTTACACCAATTGATTCTTCTCATTATTTTGTACATAAAAGTATTAAGGTAAAATAATCGAAAAATGAATATTTTACAAGATATTTTACGGTTTATGTAAAATTAAAAAATGATTTCAAGCCTCATAACTTGGAAAGTATTTAATGAAAACTAACATAATTGTAGTGTTTTGGAAAGCTCTTGAGATGAGCTACAAGAATATGCAAAAGCATATGAGGTGTCCCATTTAAAAAGTTGGAGCTGACCTTCACGTGACCTTCGGGTGGCTCTTCAAGATTAAACTAATGACACCATCATATGTCCCCCTTGAAACCATACAACTTTTGTCTGAACAATTTTTTTGTATTCGGCTTACCAACGGAGTTATTCAGGTGGCCTGTTTTAGATGCCTCACCCTGTATATATACATATACACGGTGGGCCATTTTAATCGATGCACTCGAATATCTCGAAAACAGCACTCTTCAGAAAGAAATGTTTCAAACAAAAATTGTAGGGTGTGAAGGGGGACATAAGATGGTAGCATTGATTTGACCTTGGAAAGTCATTTGAAGGTCACATAAAAGTCACCTTCAATTTCTTAAATTGAACCCACTATTTTTCATTACATATTCTTGTAGCTTATCTCGAGAGCTTTCCAAAACACTACAGACAAATGTTTTTTCATTAAATACTTTTTGAGTTATAAGGTTTCAAAGTTTGCAGTACTTCGATATAAAATGCAAAATATCTCGTAAAATATTTAGTTTTCGGTAGTCTTACCCTAATACTTTTATGCACAGGATAATGAGACAAAACTATTGGTGCAAAGAAAACGCATGATTGTTTATAACAAAAAGTGCATTGCAAATTACACATTTTTTATCATAAACAATCATACGTTTTCTTTGCACTAATAGTTTTGTCTCATCCTGTGCATAAAAGTATTAGGGTAAGACTACCGAAAACTAAATATTTTACGAGATATTTTGCATTTTATATCGAAGTACTGCAAACTTTGAAGCCTTATAACTCAAAAAGTATTTAATGAAAAAACATTTGTCTGTAGTGTTTTGGAAAGCTCTCGAGATAAGCTACAAGAATATGTAATGAAAAATAGTGGGTTCAATTTAAGAAATTGAAGGTGACTTTTATGTGACCTTCAAATGACTTTCCAAGGTCAAACCAATGCTACCATCTTATGTCCCCCTTCACACCCTACAATTTTTGTTTGAAACATTTCTTTCTGAATAGTGCTGTTTTCGAGATATTCAAGTGCATCGATTAAAATGGCCCACCGTGTATACAAAATGAAAGGAAAAAAATATTCTTTATAAATAATTATACATATAATAATTTTTGATTAAACAGATGGTTTTTAACAAAGTTCTGTTTAATCAAAAATTATTATATATGTAATTATTTATAAAAAATATTTTTTCCTTTCATTTTATATATACAGGGTGTCTCAAAACTCGTAATGAATCTTTCAAAGACAGATTCCTGGGATCATCTGAAGATGATTTTTCCTCAACAAAAATGTCGAGGCACTAATAATTTTCGAATTATAAGTGATTGGAAATAAGGGGTTTTTCGTAAATTAAGCTTTGTAGAAATAAAATATTGACAAAACCACATTCTTCGATTAATTTTAAATAGAGTTTACTTTAGTTGAGTTTTAATTTAAGGCTTAATTGCAAAGATATATGATGACAAAAATCGGGAACATGCAAAAAATGATGGCCTTCATCGACATTTTCGCTGAGGAAAAATCATCTCCAAATGATCCCAGGAATCTGTCTTTGAAAGATTCATTATGAGTTTTGAAACACCCTGTATATATATATATATATATGTATATATATATATATATATATATACAGGGTGTTTCAAATATATATATATATATATATATATATATATATATATATATATAATTTATTTTTCAATGAATTTGTTTTAAAGATATATAATTTTTTGCTTAAACAACTTAGCTAACAATTTATTCGTCTTTGGTTCGTTAATTATTATTACAAATAAAAATAAATATTTAACTATAAATAATCATAAAGTGATTATGACAATAATATATTATATTGTGGAACATTTTTGAACATACAATTTTAAATACAAAATAATTTAATGATAAAAAAGGGATACATAATCTAAAAAATATTTAATTTTAAAATTAATTTAAACATTAATAATTTAATCTTAATATATGTGCCATTTCAATAAAAAATTAATTTTTAGAAAAACAATTTTCTTAAAATTAATATATATAATCTGATAATTTATGATTTTTATTTTTTCTAAATTTTTATACAATTATATTGTCCCAAAAAAGTAAGAAATAAGTTAAATATAAATATAGTATATAGTTAAACATAAAATTTATTTAATAACAAAAAAAATTAATTTCTTCTTAAATATGACAGGAAAACTTGTCCGAGTAAAAACTTGTTATTTATGAATGAATTCTCTTTAGTTTCATTTATCTTATTTTTAATTGGTTATTTGAAATAAAAGCCCAATTCTCTTATATTAGTTAACATTATAGAGATAAAAACATTAACAAACATTAATATAAGTTCTTTATGAATTTTACTTGGTTTATAATATTCTAATAAATGTTCTGCAGAATATTAAGAAAGAATAATAATAACATATATATAATTACTTGGATGTCATCGTATGATGTCTGTTGAATATTTGGCGCGGGTACTTGACCTGTGCTCTTTAAATACGGAACAGCGATTCGACGGACGAAGATAGCAACATCGTGAGGTATGAGATATACGCAAAATCTATTTGTTGCGTGCGGAGTGCTCCAGCTGTACCCAATCGACTTACTGGCTAAATGGCAAGAAAGTAAAAAAAAATTTACATGACATACATGATAAACAATATTTCGCATGTATAAATGGAGATTTAATATATAAATATTTCCTCATCATTATATAATTTATTAGTAAATTAAATTATAATTAATATGATATTAAATTGATGATTCTTATTAGTATTCTTAATTTAATTTTTTTTAATTGATTATCACCACAAATTATATCATATATAAAGTCGTCAATTGATTTTTTGTTGTTATAAAATTGTTGCTATTATCAAATTAATAAGAGAGATGTCGACATACTCCAAATTGGACTTAAAATATCGCTTTTTCTAAAAGAAGAAATATATAATTTGCAATTGACAGTTACATATTTTTTCTTAAAAATAACTTTTTTTACACAAATAATTTATTCTCTTATTATTTTAACAATAAAAGTGTTGATAATCGAAAAATGAATATTTTACGAGATATTTTATAAGGTTATATAAAATTAAGAAATTACTTCAAGCCTCATAACTCGAAAAATATTCAATGAAAACTAACTTAATTATAGTGTTTTGGAAATCTCTCGAGATGAGTTACAAGAATATGTAAAAGCATATAAGGTATCATTTAAAAAGTTGGAGGTGACCTTCACGTGATCTTCAGATGACTCTTCAAGGTCAAACTAATGGCACCATCTTATGTCCCCCTTGAAATGATACAACTTTTGTCTGAAACATTTTTTCGTATCTTTTAGACTTTACAAGATATTTCGATGGCAAAGATAAAATCGAACACTCTGTATATGGATATATGTATATACGTATGTATGTGTGTACACACACAACACACACACACACACACACACACACACACACACACATACATAATTGTTTCGAAGAAAAAATATATAATTTGCAATTAATTACATATTTTTTCTTAAAAATATAACTGTGTGTTTTCTTTGCACCAATTAATTACTTTCATTATTTTGTACATAAAAGTATTAAGGTAAGATAATAAAAAAATGAATATTTTACTAGATATTTTATGGTTTATATTTTTTTTATGGTTTATATTTTATTAGATATTTTATGGTTTATATTTTTTTATGGTTTATATTTTATGGTTTATATCAGTGCTGTCACTAGTAAGTAAAATATATCTAGTAAAATATTCATTTTTTGATTATCTTGCCTTAATACTTTTATGTACAAAATAATGAAAGTAATCAATTGGTGCAACTTGCAACTTTCTATATACATATATATATATATATATATATATATATACATATATATATATTTCTTGTCATAAATAAAAAAGCAACATTGGAGATAAATTTGCAATGAACAAAATATTTTATTAATAAAAGTGAAAAATTGGATTCGAATATAGATTCGAATATACTGCATGTTTTAAGTGACACTAGAAAATTAATGAATGATAGATACATAAAATATACTGCTAATGGCAATAAAGAAAATTACATACAAACTCAAAATCCGTCCCTGACGATCAACTTTCCTACAGCAAACGCGATGCATCCGAGAACTTCTACCCTGTCATGTCCCTTATACCTCAGGTACACGGGGCAACCTGTCGAGAGATTCCCCAACATCCTTCTCCTTCTCTCCTTGATCTTCCGTAGCCGCACATTTACCCGTATCTCTTTTTCCGCGTCTCTCGCCGCGAACGATGTGCACGCTGGAAGGGGCCAGAGGCTGAAGAAGAAGGAGAAGGAGAAGAACCAGTCGTGAACCAGAACCGTCGGTCCTCAGAATCTCCCAGTCACCTCTTCGAGTCTGTGCGGCTAGTGTACGTGGAAATTGTCGTGTGCAATCTCACCGGTGACTGTGCAAGATCAATCAGTATAACGTTGCCATTATAGCATATGATCGTACGCGCGCGTTCGCGCGCGCGTCGATCTAATTGTAATTCAACAATGATACGACTGGTGATACGTGAGAATAAAGAAGAGTGACAGGTTAGTGGACAATCATTTTTGTATTTGTAAATAGATAGATTGGTTTATGTGAATGATTTATCTGAAGGAGTCATGGAGTAAAGCAAGATGGGCAACTTTATATAATATAGAGATGCTATATATGTGTGCATTTAATTGTGCATCTTTAATTTCAATACATATTACTACATATAAAAAATATATAAGAAAAATAAAACGTACAATAAAAAAGAATATAAATTAATATAATAAAAAATTTTAATTATTAATTTAAAATTATTATTAATTAAGAAAACATATTACGTCTACATACAGCAAAGTAGAAATATAAATTAATATAAGAAATTGTAATTATTTATTTTTAAAATTACATTTAATTTAAAAAGAACAAGATGTTATATATATACACGCAACAGAGTAAAATCACTTTTTTGTAAAAAAGCAAGTAAAATAATAATTAAAGATAGTAATAAAAGTTTTTTATGTTGTTAATTTATTTTATAATGATATGTGAAAATAATAAATCAAAACAATATATTATAATTGCGATGTATAGGTGTATTTCTAATTCTTTTAAAAAAATTAAAACCCGAATTTATTTGTTTCAACTAAAATTTTATAATGTTAAATTTTGAAATTATGCTTAATGGAATTTGATATATGCTTATATATAAAGAAATAGTAATATTTCCGTTAAAAACATTATATATACTATCTCATTGTATCACGGAGGTTTATAGATTAAATCCAAAGACAATTTTGAATGTAAACTATTTCTGCAATGCATGAATTATCTGACGTGACAATAACTAAAGATAGTTTTAAAGTTATCAAATTTATTTACTGTGGCATGTTCTATATACCAACAATAGTGTCTTTTCTAGTTTGTTGCGTTATTATTACATAATCAGAAGCACGAATTTCATTAATGCATTTATTGATTTAATTGAATAATTATTTCATGCATATTGTGCACTTTGTTAACGCATTAATTGCCTGCTGAACATCGAACTAAAGAGTCAATAACTATATTATATAGGAGGTCAATTGTATTATTTTTTTACGATAAACCTTTGTTAGGAATAGCGTGTGTGTCGAAATGAGAGATATTATAATCGCGATACTCGCATTAATAATACAATTTTCAAGAAATTTACTTTTTAAAAAATATTCTTTTTTTGAATAAAAAGATATATATAAAATTAAAAGAATTTAAATAATAATTAAATAAAATTTAATAATCTTTATAATATTTATAACACAATTTCTAGATATTTATAAAATTATATAAAAATTTAATCTAATCGCTTTATTTTTATTTTTCCTTTTCTATTTTTATGTTATTATATTTCATTAATATTAAATCAATATTTTTCAACTTCTTTAGATGATAAAAATGTAGAAGCAATTAGTAAAAGTCTAATTTTTCAATTTAATTTTGCTTTCAGCATCGTGAAAATTTTTTTACAAGAATGTTTCAACCTAGGATCCGAATTTTAAATACTTAGAAATAAATTCTGGATCTCTTAGGCAAAAATGATGATGATTTAATTTTTTCTATTAGCCATTTTTTAGAATAAAAGTCACCACTAGGAATACTGTACTCTTATGTCTTATATTTTATATATGTTACAAAAATATGATGTAAACGCGTCTTTTATTTTAGTAGTACATGAAATTTATTTGTGCATAATTATAATCTATTCCATAAATTTCATGTATTACTAAAATAAAAAAACGTTATTTACATCATATTTCTAAAACACATGTAATAAGGCATATGAAGGTACGACGTATCTGATAATAATTTTCGATAACAACAATATAAGGAATTATTATTAATAAAAATAAAAATTACTATTGTTTTTATTTATCCAAAAAATCTAGAATCCGTTTTTTAATATTTAGAATTCCCAAGATTTCCCAAGAAACATCCTCCTTGTTAATAATTATAATTTTATATATTATACCACTACTATATATTATACATCAAAGGACAACGGCCGCATTCAGCGGACTCAACAGTTGGGCAACATTATTAGATTTTTCAATGTAATTTAACGCTGATTGGTCGGAACTGAAAGTAGAAACCAATCACATTCGATTGCTACTTAGTGGCTGAGTGCATTGAATGCGGCCATTTATTTACAATTGGATAAAATATATAGGTTAAATTACTATATTTATTCTATGTGATTCATATTTCAATTTGTAATTAAAATATAAATATTTTCATGTACAAATAAATATTGATTGAATAGTTATAAATAATAAATATTGATTGATATTTCAGATTAAATTCTTCTGATTAATGTCTATTAATAATTATATTTTTGTCCAATTGTGTGCAAGTTTTCGTAATTTCACTTGTAAGATCGTTATTAGCAGTTTAGAGCTAATGTATATTCATAGTCCATTCTTATATTTAAATGTTTTAAGATTCCATGAGTCATGTCTAAATTTTAAGATTCAATTCAGAAATCATCGTTTTCAGACGTACATTTTCCGACTGTACTTAAGACAATCTTAAATATAAGGACGAATTATAAATACTTCATATTATGTATAATATATAGAAATATATAAAAAATCTACATTAGTAGTATATAATATATTTTTTAATAATACATATATTGTCGCGTGAAGTCATTTGATTAATGTATTAGCTTAAGTTAAAAGGATTCATATCAGAGTAAGCACGATATGATTATCCTATCGAACCGTAAAGAGACACCCACAATAATTTCTGATTTGCATATTGCAACGTGGCGTTATGGAACGTCTATTTATGAATGCTTGCATCGTTATTTATATTCTAGCTATTCGATCGCAACTCATATCTCTTTATATGTAGCGAGTATGTTATCAGATACTCTAGATATCATAAACGTAGATAATTTTTCAATATTATATTGCGACATCTTGCAATTACTCTTGCAAATACTTATATTATTTTTAAACATAAACTTTGATGCGCGTGATATTTTTTATGTTTTTATTATCGGCGACACACACACACACACACACACACACACACACACACATAAAACGCGCATATTCAAAAGACATCTAGAAGATATTCCGAAAACGTCCTTTGAATAATAGGACGTCTTCAAGATATTATTTGAATGTCTTTTGGATATACGTGTTGTTTTTAGATATCGCATGATATATTGATGTTTTTTGTTAGAAATATATTTTTTAGGACACAAGCGTGTTAAAAGCGATATGAATGATGTCTCGAGTGTGTTGTTTAATCATATTAATCTTTGCGATATATAAATCTACATGTACGAGTGCGTGCCGTTTCATTTTGAGAGTGCGCGTATGATAAACATCGAGTTAGAATCATTATACGATTAACAATGATGCTAGGTCTATGAGCATAATGCAGAAAATATAATTAACGGTTAAAGCTTGCATAATTGATTGACATTTATTAAATACTTTCGCCTTTTGATAAACGATTTTTAGGAACTTAAAAACGAAATATTAAGAGCTTCAACGCTTTCTGTATACCCGTAAAAAGCGCTGTATTTATTGAACCATAGCAAAAATAAAAAAAGTTGCTAAATGTACTGAATAGGAGACCCAGCCTCAATGACCTTGACTATGATATATGTTGTCAAGGTCACTGTCCTGAGTGGTATTTAAAAGATTTTAGCTGTCGTTCATCATTTATAAAAAAAAATATTAACAACAAAAGTTTTACGAATTATGTGCAATTTTTAGACACTATATACGTTTTAAGAGTCAAGGTGAAATGTACATGCGTGGCTACAGTGGGTTCTGTCCCCCTACGGGGGGCTCCACTTCCGGAAGATATAACCTAAACCTATTTCCGATTTATAACTAAAATTTGATTTGGTATAAACTTTGCTTTGCGGGAAAAGTTGCAAACCCATGTGAACTTCGTTTTATCTTGCAATACATGCATACTTGCATACATGCGTGGATACAGTAGATTTTGCTTCCCCTACGAGGGGACTTCCGGAAAATATAACCTATAATATAATCAAATTTTAATTTAAATCAGAAATAGGTTTGGGTTAGGTTATATCTTCCGAAAGTCCCCCCGTAAAGGGGGGCGGAATCCACTGTAACCACGCATGTACTTTGCAAGATAAAACGAAGTTCATATAGGTTTGCAACTTTTCACGCAAAGCAAAGTTCACCCCAAATCAAATTTTAGTTATAAATCAGAAATAGGTTTGAGTTAGGTTATACTTTTAAAGTGGTGCCCCCCGTAGGAGGGGGAGCGGGAACCTATTGCATCCACGCATGTACATTTCATGTCAACATACATTGTATCCATAGCACTTATTTTGTTAATAACTTTTTATCAAATGACGAGCGACAGTTAAAATCTTTTGAATGTCACTCAGGATAGTGATTTTGACAATATATTTTAAGGTCAAGGTAATCGAGGCAGGCTCCCTTCATCGACATATTTACCCACACGTCATTTTGACATTTCAAATTGGTCATTTACTGACTATTCTTGACGTCACGAATTGACGTTTTTATGACGTGAAAGTGACGGTCATGTCACAGATTCTTGAGGTCATGACATGTATCGTATTTTGACGTCATAAAACGTACCATATTTTGACGTTTTTTTCTTAGCATAATAATGTATTTAATAGCGTTGTCAAATAAAGAAAATTAACCGAGAACATTATTGAACAATTACAGTCATTCTATTCTTTAGCAGAATCTCGGATCGATTAAACTGCTTATTTGAAAACGCTGGG